GTTGTGAACACCACCACATGTCAACCCTGAGCCAGCTCATCGGGCTGGCTAGTGAGCTGGCAGTCTTGCTGGCCAGGCAGCGGGTGCCAAGGCAAGGGAAAAGGCCAAGCCCAAGCTCATCTGCTCCCTCAAGTCTCAGATCACTCCAGGTCTAAATGTAGAGAGAAAGAGGAGCTCTGTAGGCACAAGGAGGAGCGAGAGCTTTACCACTGCAAGCAACCTCTGAGGGACTGTAGATGCATTTGCTAAACACAGACCTCAGCTCCACGAGCCACGCTCAGCAGCAGTTCACACTTTAACCAGGAACCACAGGCTCTGCAAAAACAGCTGAGTGACACCTGAGGGCTGGATGAGACACTGAGCCTCTAGTTCCAATCCTCCTGCCACGGGCAGGGAAACTTATCCCTAGACCAGGCCCCAGAGCTAAACATGGTACTGCAGGTGTCAGAGGATGGACAGAAAAACTTGTGAAAAAGAGCCTCCACAGTCATTTCTCTACTTGCCAAACCCTGCCTCAGAGGGTTCGAAAGGTGCCGTGAGAGGAAGGCATGCTGCAGCAAAGGAAGGGCATCTTACCCATCAGGTACTTCCACTCGGTGTTGAGGTCGGCTTGGTTGGCCAGGCAGCCCTTCACCACGTTCAGGCAGTAGTTGTTGCACGGCTTCACGCTGGACATGCCCCGGCAGTGCGGGCAGTACATCAGCTTCATGATGGCACGAGTGCACTCGTGGCTGAGAGATACCTGGGGGAGACAGACGGAGTCAGGCACACGGATGGTCAGGGGGGCAAACTCCCCCCCCTCCCCCGGGGTGAAGGAGCTTGCTGTGGTCTGAGAGACAGCACGGCTCCCCGGGTGTGTGGCACCCCTCTGGCTGCCTCTCCTTCCCACCCATCCTTCCTCAGGCGTCACTCCTGGCAGAGGGACGGGACCTCCAAGGCAGCTGCTACTTCCTCAGGCTGTGTTTGAACCCAGGGTTCTGGGGAAAAACCCCATAGGTGAGCTCTGTCCCCCTTCCAGCCAGGCCTGGTGGCCACAAGGACAGCCGAGGCTGTAACGCTGAGCCTGACACATGGAGCATGTGTCCCTGGAGATCAGTGCCACCACCGTGCCCCTCCTGCACGAGGGGTTTGGCATCACTGCCCAGCAGAGGCAGGTGTCCCACCACACACTGCATCTCCGGCTTCCTGGGGGGATGCACAGAGGGGGCTGGACACGGGAAGTTCTCAGCTGGCATCTTTGGAGAGGAGGACGCTGTTCGGGGAAGACTCGAACAATTCCAAAACCACGGGCAATCGAGAGCACTCGACACGGGGAAGCGACTGCTCTCCGAAAGCACTTCAGGAGCCGCAGGCAGCCGGCGAAGCGGGCCAGCACACGCAGTGCCAGCGGCTCGCCCGCCTTGCCAGTGGGGCTCGGCAGGCTTTGCACGTGCAGCTGACACTTCGCAGAGGCAGCTCTGGAGGTGATTTTGCCACGTTTAATTAAACCACCCTGGTCCCACCAGCACCGAGCCAAGCGCAGGTGCAGAGCAGGGTGGCAGCTTCTGCAGCACGTCACAGTCTCCCCAGACCATCAGCCATGGGACAACTGTCCCCCTCCCAACTGCCAGTGCAAGCTGAGGGATGAATCTCAACCTGGCAGACCCTGCAGAGATGCTGGCAGAGCTCAGTGCTCCCTTGTCTTATTGCTAAAGTGTTTTCTCCTTTGTGGTCTTTTCTGTCTTTGCTCAGATCCATTTGCAACTCTCTGGCCAGTCTTTTAAAACCATTTGCAAAAATAAACGTAAGCGTCTGTGTGCAAATCTCCCTCGGTGCCAGGTACTCGGCACTCACGAGGAGCCCAAAGGGGGAAAAGTGAAAAATGGAAAAATCCCTGAGCCTTGAGCTGCAGCTCCAATGCTGTGAACTGCCCTGACCTCTTTATTGCTTGTGAGCACAGTCTTTTAAGTTTCTTTGGGGACTCCAGAAAGAGTTCTGAGGTGCCCTTAGGAGAGAAGGAACACACTGAGCCCACTATCAGTGGTTGGCAGAGAAAATCCCTGAGCATCCCCCCTCCTGAAACTGCCTGCACGGTAGCACCTCACTTCCAGTCAGCCTTGGAAAAGAGATGTTGGAAAAGAGATGGAAGGG